TTACATTATAGTGTTAGTTTACATTGTAACATTGTAACTTCTTTTCTAAAACCTATTCAGAATCACCACCTAAAGTCAACTTACATCCATTTTTAACATTCAGTGAAAACATGGTAATAATAAAATTCTGATCTGCCTTCAAGAGGATGTTTAAATATAATAGCGGATGAATATCAACAAACAAATAACACCCAGTTAAGCCGTCATGAAAATGATCAATTACATCCTTAACTAGCAGTAAAAGATTTAATTTAAACATGTAGAGAAAGAAATGTTTAATTTTGTTTGAAGGTACTGTTGTTATTTAGTAATGATACGAAAAACAATCAATTTTCCAGTTACCTCAGATGGTGGCATTGCACTCTTTAAGGCTAGTCTCACGAACAATTTCTGAGTCCACCTGACCCCAAGACTGTGGCTAGACTGAGTCAAAATGATGTTGAGATATCGAGCCTGTTATTTTACACTCTTAAGACAGAGATTGGACTTGAGTACAACACTACAAAAGCACAAAACTTATAACAGTCCCTGCGTTGACTGCACGTTAACATTAGTTGTGTGTTGCATTAGTAACTCACAGAAGTGCAGAGAAATGTGAAACCTGATTTCATCTTCAGTAAATAGGCAAGTAAATATCTGATTTCACATACTATTACATTTATTTGCATCCATCTTGCAGGCTATATATTGCACAATAAAAAACTCAATAATATTCACATATACCTCTCAGAGTTGGAAGTGTTTGTATACCACCGGCTCTCATAGACGCTTCTTTGTAAGTGGGGGGAGAACTATACAATTCTGCCCATCTCAGCATTCTCAGCATTTCTCCTGTCTTGCTCTCTCTCTGGCAGAGAGCACAGATCAGTGCTCTTATAGATCGGCCCACAAAATCAATGCTGTGAATACTAATGACCTTTAAATCTCTGAATGCCCACAAACAAAGCAGGAACATGTCCATTATGTCCAACAGCCAGAGAGCAGAGCCGGCTGCTTTCTATAGAAGTTGCACTGATGCACACTAATGCAACCCAGCTGGCCAATCCAAAGCCTAATCTTACCCATTATGAAGGAAATGGTAAAACTGGTAACAAGCCTAACAAGATATTTCTGGCATTGCAATTTAAATAATGTAATGTAATATCCACGTATTAATATCTGAAAGAATCAATCAGTAACAATATTAGTAACTGGAAATAAAGAGTGTTACATGTTAATTAATGAGGCATTCCCATACATTTCTATGTGTGTTTATGTGTGTGTGCATTTCATGCTGCATATGGGGGGCGTCAGTGTTGCTGTAGCTTTCTCCTGCCTGTGCTGTCAGAATGCAGAACGCCTATTCACGGCTTGTCAGCGGTGTCGGGCAGAGCCTGTAAAAACCTTTTTCCTCTTTCACTAACAACTGCACAGCACGCAGACACACACACACACTTACACTCTTTCAGTCTCGCATGCACACGTACACACAGAGTAGGTGCCCACTCTTCTGACAGGATGTGGTGCTGGCACAAATTGTAATTCATAAAGGTTAAGGGGGTCAATGCCTTTTATTACCAGTCTGAGTGCATGCAGCTTGATGGGGGCCGCATGCAAATGCAGTGTCTCAAGATGTTCGCTCAACAGCAGAGAGAGAGAGAGAGAGAGAGAAAAACAGAGAGAGAGAGAGAGAGAATACAATGGAGGCTGGCAGATATAAAGTGGGAAAAAAGAGACTGGATGCTCCTGGTTTTCCAGAGTAGATTTGGTCTCTAACAACCCTTTTAATGAAACATGACTGAACCAAGGCAGATAACTATGATAGCTGGCACCACATATATAAGTACGTGAACATATGTAGCCTATGGTAACATAAAAAGTACCAAAATGTGTAGAAAACACTGGAAACACTGTTTGCTATGTATAGGCAGCAAGATACCCAGTAGGCCTACCCTGTTCATTGAAAGGAAAACCCATGACCCACACTCTTTAGAGAGCCTTGGTGAACAGTGGGCACATTAGACTCTTTGACCCCCTCTGGTGGTCAGGGAGCACAAGGATCATGTCTGTCTGCAAGTTCATGTATGTTCATTCTACAAAGAAGTACTAAAAGACTAGAATTTTATCCCTGTTATAAGAAATGAAACAAATATGTGTTGCATAAAGATGATGACTGTGAAAAATAAAGTTTGTCAAGATAGGTTTTAAATATGTATAGTCTAATAAGCCTATTTTATGTTCTGGAACGCACAAGCTATCCACTACAATAACCACAACTAACAAACATGTTCGATTCTATCAAATCATTCCAAGTCAGCCTTGCATCATGGATCAAGATCACCATGAAACCTTGTTTCAGTTGAAACCCTGCAGCCACACTGGCCTTTGCAGATAAGACTGGGCTCCCCTGACCTAGGGTATTAGTGTGAGTAACCCTGCTGCAGGGTGCAAGGCTATGCCATGCCTGGCTGTGTTCACCTGTACAGAGGAACACACCTGAGGAAGCATCAGGGGGATTCTACCACTGTAGGCACCAGCAGAGCTCAGTGAGGCTCACTGCACTCATTAGCTTTACCTTTGCATGGCCCATAGCACTGGCAAGCCATTCATCACCCTCAACTACACAAATAGTGCTGAAAGAGCGCACCTATAAAACAGAGAGACAAAGCACTGTGGGAGCACATCACTGAATTCACATCTTCACAGATGAAATGGTGAGAAGGGAAATGCAGAATGATTTGATGTTTCTTTTCCACTCAGGTATAACTGAGAAGGGGTTAAGTTTAGTGATCAAAGGAAAAATGAAAGGAAATCAATATATATATATATATATAGAGAGAGAGAGAGAGAGAGAGAGAGAGAGAGACAGAGAGAGAGAGAGGGAGAGAGAGAGAGAGAGAGTTTAAATTCAGGTTCAAATTCAGAGTTCAAACTAAATTCCTTTAAAATGACCTCATGCCTTTGAGTGACCTCATGACTTAATTCTGTTTATTTTATTAAAATAAATGACTAAACTTTTCATTTTGTCATAAGCAAAACAATCATAACACTACCAAATGTTTCAGTAGTACCTTTCATTAGTGACAATTTTGGCTAATTTTGAGCATAACTCAAAAACGCTAGCCAGGAAATGACAAGCAAACACAGCTTTGAACAGTTAATTAAAATTATAGTATTTTTCATTAAAACACGGAAACATTGGCTCAATTGCAGAAAATATGTGTTTTGGTAGTGACAGTTTTTAATGTTACACACTGATTTTCAGACTTTGGGACACATTTATTTCCAAACAGTGAGATCTAAAAGCTCACCATGTGGCCATGAAGGACAGGAATGCAGTCTCACTTGCTGCTCTAAAATAAGTGCAAGAGTGTGGCTAAAATAAGGCTCCACCTATGTACAGGGTTTAAATAAATCATAACATAATCCTTGATCCTTGTAATACTTTGGGTAACCTTCTGTCGATAATTCCTTTGGTAGATAATTTGGTAGAATGCCCCATAATCAAGCAGGACTATGCAAAAGTACCTTGTTAAAACCAGTCATCTCAGCAGTGAATGTGTTTTTGCTTGTAAAACACCAAAAATCATTAAAAAGATGCAAATATACATAAATACAGTAACAAAAATTTATTATTTCCTAGAAAGCAGTTGGTATCTCGTAAACAAGTTTGAAGAACCAAGTTCAGCTCCAGGTTTCACCTGAAAGCTATTGCATAGATTTATTAAATTCCATCACCAGCACACTTGATATAATTTAATGAAGTATGAATTTGCAAAACAAATGAGGATGATAATTACAGTTAATACTGGGCTTGTGTAAAAGTGATGGCTGAGAACGGTTAAATGATCACACTGATATACATAGATCAGGCATAACATTATGACCACCTCCTTGTTTCTACGCCTGCTGTCCATTTTATCAGCTCCACTTACTATATAGGTGCACTTTGTAGTTCTACAATTACAGACTGTAGTCTATCTGTATCTCTGCATACTTTGTTAGCCCCCTTTCACCCTGTTCTTCAGTGGTCAGGACCCCCATGGACCCTCACAGAGCAGGTACTATTTGGGTGGTGGATCATTCTCAGCACTGCAGTAACACTGATGTGGTGGTGGTGTGTTAGTGCGTGTTGTGCTGGTACGAGTGGATCAGACACAGCAGCAGGACACCACTCACTGTCCACTCTATTAGACACTCCTACCTTGTCAGTCCACCTTGTAGATGTGAAGTCAGAGACGATAGCTCATCTGTTGCTGCACAGTTTGTGTTGGTCATCCTCTAGTCCTTCATCAGTGGTCACAGGACACTGCCCACAGGACTGTTGGCTGGATATTTTTGGTGGGTGGACTATTCTCAGTCCAGCAGTGACACTGAGGTGTTTAAAAACTCCAGAAGCACCTATATAGTAAGTGGAGCTGATATATGGACAATTAGCATAGAAACAAGGAGGTTGTCATAATGTTATGCCTGATCGGTGTACATACATACATACATACACATATACATACAAACACACACACACACACACACACACACACACACACACATATATATATATATATATATATATATATATATATATATATATAGTGTAAAACAAGAAAAACAACAAAAAGTAGTTCATAATACACATGTTTACAGTCTTTGGCCTTCTTTGTTTTTCATTTTAAAAGTGCATCTTAAAAAGTGAACAGATTTGGGTAGTGTTGTAATTTTGTGTATAATATTGACCCGTTGAATTAAAAAAATGTACAGTGTACTCAGTATCCAGATCTTTAAATGAGAAGAAGCACATTACATCACATAACTTCAAAATAAATGTTGTACTCAGTTTCCCTGCAAAGATAAATGAAAAGTCTAACTAAAGGTAGGGATAAAATAACAGTTAAAAATATGATATATTGACTCATTCCACTTCACAGGAGGTGCAGCTGAAATTGTTTTTCTGTCATCTGTTTTGTGATGTATATGTTGTGCAGAACACTGAACTGGACTTCTCTGTCTTTATAGAGGAAGAAGCGTTTGTGGCCTGTTTCAATAAAGTTTTAATGCAACGACCTTGTCTTGACGTCAGATACCCATCCGGGACTTTATTGCTGAGAGTCAGCGCAGGCGCAGTGTGTCCAACCGCTTCGACCTCCGGCTGCGGTAAGTGATAGGAAAGCGGCGATTTAGCACGTATTAATCTCATTTCATCCTTCAGCTGCAGCAGTGTCTTGTCAGTATTGTCACTACGATAGTTGTTAGTGACGTTCTTTGATAGTTTAAATGAATTAGTTTCTGATAATATGTGTGAATTGTGCAGTTGACCTTAGTTTTGTCTTGTCTTTCCAGACAGTCCCCGGCTGCTGCTCTAAATTTGCAATAACCGGTTAAAACAGAACAAACTCCATAATGTATGCCTGCGCGAAATTCGTCTCTACACCCGCCCTGGTGAGTAACTTGATCTGAACTGTTTTTAACCACCCTAATTGGTGTATTTGAGGGTATATTCTTGGGGCCTTCTGCTAAACTTGGAGCTGGAAGCTAACCAGCTAGTCGCTGCAAGGAATTCATTCATTCATTCATTCATGTATTCGCTTGTCTAATGCTTGACAGCCGTGGGTCAGTTTGTAGGAACTGTCCGTGGTTTTACAGTGTCAGTTTCATTCAATTTGTGCTGCAAACCTCTGGGTTAGAAGGTTAGCAAAATAAGCCGTTACTTTAAGGTCATAATCTAGCGTTAGTTAGTAGGTTATCTGACTTGTAGCTTACCTGCATAGATCTAGGCTCATCTGTCTCTGCGTCTTGCTGCTTGTTTATGCAGTTAGTCATATTCACCTTGCCTTAAGGCTGAAATAACAAACGTTACAGCTGTTAACCCACAAAATGCAGCTCACACATTAGCTGCTCTTTATTGGTCTAATTAGATGATAGATTGGTTATTAAAGTGTTTTTGCTGGACCAGGAGAAACTTATAGCCCAAAATCGCTGAAGAAAGCATTTTACCACATTTGGTCAGTAGCTTTTTTGCATTGAAGTCATTCAGATAATTTCAGAAGCCCAGTATCAAGTAAACTGTACATCTTGCATTTGGTCATGTGCTGAACTTTGAAGTGTAACTTTTGGACCTCAACCTGCCTTATTCCTGCACATGTGTCCTTCAAGAGACTTTTTCTGCTGAACAGAGATCATTTATTTCAAAATCACTGTATTGTGTTTGGGTGTCTTTTGCTTTAATGTGTCCTGAGTGGTATTCAATTAAATGTGTTTTAGGTCCGTTCTGGATCCCGGGCTTTGTACAGACCAGTGTCTGCCGCTGTACTGTCTAGGCCAGAGGTCAAAACAGAGGTGAGTGTTAAGACAGCTTTTCTCCTTCTTAACAGCTTGAACACAATACCCCCTTGTCACTGTCACACAGTCTTAAAATAGGAGTATCAGAACAGTAATTTGCACTGCATAAGTTTCTTAGATGTATGCCAGTTGATTTAAAACACATTGTTTATTGTTGACACATTAGGTGACTTATCTGATCCTCATGGACAAATTATTTTTTTAAATAAATCTGTAAATTTGCAGTTTTGACATTGCGTTGCTCCTCTGTTCTGTGTAATAATGATACATTCATCTCTATTAAGCATTTCTGGTTTAAAGCCTCATTGTTAAACAACTCTCATATTTTTGTATTGATAATTCAGACTGCAGTTTTCACACTTCCACAGTGTTGCAACTATTGTTCTACTTGCTTTCTATGGCAATTAATAATTAGCCACAGACATGCTGTTGGTTCTGATGTTATACATATGAAAAAGGTATATGGTGCTTTGTTTTCAAAGATGGCTAGAGCGATAAGAAAAGGGCCATGGTCTGTAAATAGCTTCAGCAGTGCCCTTTGCTTAGTAGTAGTTGGGGTCAGATTGATTCTCATGTTTTTTCACCCAGGGGTGCTGTCAGTGCATCAATACAATTATAAATGTGGGCTTCTTTGATTTCTCTGAAGTACACTTGGTGCTTTAAAAGAGGGTATTACATTTGAGTATTTGTAATAACATAAGAACATCTATTGAGGACTTGAATTCACAGTGATGTCCTCCTTGAAATTACAGTACATTACTACAATTGAGTTCTTGTGGATTCTTTTAGTTAGCTTCTCAAAGGACTGTAAACATGGCCACATGATGTAGTAATGAACAAGTTTTATTACATTATGTTGTGTTGCAAGGCTGAAACAAAATCATACACCTGGCATATAATATTGATATTCTAATAAGCAGTGATTACCTCTGTCATCAGAAGACATGAAGTTCTGGGAAGCTTTTGTGGCTGCTAAAAAGACACATTTGGGGAAATTTGTTTGCATGTACAGGGATGCTCAACAGACAACTATAATACCCCCTGGAAGGAAGATCCCATATTGCTCAAAATTCCTCAGTACATACAGTGCAGTTCCTGCTGTTCTATGATAAATGACAGCATACTACTTTTGTAATTATTGAGCTTTAAAAACAGAATGGGTCCTTAAAATGCATTAGTCACTTATTTTCTTATCTCATTATTCAATTATATTCATGAATTATTCACCTCTCTGTAGACCACTGCTGCTCTCCTGCCCCAGTCTCCCCTCACCCAGGTGTGTCTGCGAGGCTTCCAGACCAGCGCAGTGAGCCGGGACATCGACACTGCTGCCAAGTTCATTGGAGCTGGAGCTGCCACTGTTGGAGTGGCTGGATCTGGTGCTGGAATCGGAACAGTGTTCGGCAGTCTTATCATTGGATATGCTAGGTGAGAGAGAAGAGATTAGGACCTGACGTGTGAATTTTTCATCCAAACCAAATGACATTTGCAGTGTATTTGTATAGTGTAGACAAGCTGTTCATTATGCTTTATTATATTTATGGACATTGTAATAAATCTGACTATTCTGTCCGTTTCATAGGAACCCGTCTCTGAAGCAGCAGCTCTTCTCGTATGCTATTCTGGGGTTTGCTCTGTCTGAAGCCATGGGGCTTTTCTGTTTGATGGTTGCTTTCCTCATCCTGTTCGCCATGTAAAAAAACAGAAACTGGTAACAGTGGAAACATATGCTGTACTCAATTGTGACTTAACCGTTGCTACCGAAAGTGTCTGCTCTTAATGTCCATGTAGTGCATTTTGAAGTTCACTGTCAAAATGATATTGTATTATACAACTGTAATCAGTTACAAAATTAAAATAAGTATTTGAACTATTTAAAGGCCAACTATAATTTTTGTACTTTGGCAATCATGTCTCTCCACCCTGTTATTGGATGACAATGGCAGCAGTTCCAGCAGTGCTCACCAGAATGTCAACCTTGAAGATTCACAGCAGAACTTAGAGCCAGATAGCACTTTCTGTACATCACAATTGGGGAAAGTGTATTTGTTTTGGGTCCACTCATTTTCAGGGTCTGAACTATTGGTGGAAAGTGAAAATGTAAGTAGGTTGCAACTGGTTAAAAGCCAATAAACCTTTTGCTTTTGTAAATTGCATTAAATAAATATAGATTTGTGTTTACTGGACTTAAATGTTGTCAGGCTTGTTTCTTCTACATTTTCAGCCCTTTATTAAATAGATAACAGCCTATTCTCCGATGAGTAGGCAGTAATTATCCCAGATATGAATGAATAATAGTAAAAAAAAGACAAGCATTACCCTGATGGGTGTCAGCTCACAGTGCCAGCGGTAAAACGCTGAAAATACAGCTGCCACGTAACGGCAGGCATAAGTGACCAACTTGATCTTTGTCCTTCAGAAGTTACTCCAGTGGTTAATGTGTAAACGCACCAGCAGCGCTCACACTTCATTCTGAATTAATGCTCGAGAGCAGCGCGACTCTAACAGGTTTAATTTTAGTGTCTTGACTCCCGGGCTTGACTGAAGCCCGCCGCCATCGTTAGTGCGGGGTTGCTGTGAGGGGGTCATTGAGCGAAGACTCGCGAGAGCGGCAGTGCGCGGCTGGGCTTTGGCAGGGTTGTGCCCGCGGGTAAGTGGCTACCTCCATTCACTCTCACTAAACAGAGACATCGCTCGGGTTAATGTGTCGAGTAGTGACAGCAGGACGTAAGTTCAGTTACGCACATCTGTTTAACTGTGCGTTCATGACACGGGGATGTTTCCTCTGTACAAGCTTTGTTGCTAATATGGCGACGGCTATAAAGCATGCTAGCTAACTAACTCAGCTAGCTTAGCTTAGCTAAGCTCATATTCCTCTGTAAAAGAAGGGGTGGTAACAGCTAACGTCAGCTAGCAGGGACTAGCCTGAGCCTGGGGACTGTAAACAAGCTGGCCTGTATTGTTATCCTCAGCACCTTCTGCATCGCATAGGACACGGGTACACACGTAAAAGTGTATTCTTGTTGTTTGGCAGCCTATAATCTGGGATTTGATTTTACATAAACACAGATTTAGTGAGCTGTTAAAGAAGAGTCGTAGCCAAAACTGACAATAGAATGTGCTTGCTATGCTGCTAGCTGGCTGGCTGGTTAGTACAGAAGCAGTGGTCTGTGAGCTGTCATTTGAAATGATTTGGGCAGTTAGCCATATTAATCTGTTTACGACACATGGGATTTAATTTCTTATTAATGGACAAACATTTAACTTTACTAAAGTGGCATGCTAGCTAACTGTCAGTGTGATTCCTTCTGTAATAGCTACCCCCTTATCCTAAACAACTCCCACAGCTGTACACATAACATGGCCCAGCAACATGTTTCAAAGTATTAGGCTACCAGACAGATATACAAAGAATCTCTGTAACGTTACCCTGTTGTTCCTTTTTATACTGGTATTTGTGTTTGTAAACATATTGGAAAGTATGGTTACTTAATTAGCATTTTGTTTTAGGAGGTGGCAAACAGAAGCTCTGAATATGAGTGGAGATGATAAGCCATTCCTCTGTACTGCTCCAGGCTGTGGTCAGGTACATGTACCAGAATACACAGAAGTGTTCACATTATTGCTGAGGCTGTTGCTGGTTTTTAAAGTCAGATGCCATACATGCATACTTCATAATCTATGTGATTCTATATTTGTTGTTTATGATTTTGATAGATCTTAATTTTAAGTTTAAAAGATATTTAAACTGGCAACATTTAATGGTTTTATGTGACAAATAAGCTAAAGTGTTACTTTCACAGCGATTTACAAATGAGGATCATTTGGCAGTCCATAAACATAAACATGAGATGACCCTCAGGTTTGGTCCAGCACGCAATGACAGTGTCATCATTGCTGGTGAGTATGCAAAAATACCTGTTCCTCAATTGAGATCAACCATGATGTTATAAGTTGTTCATTTTATTGGTTCTTGTTTCAGACCAAACACCGACACCCACTCGCTTTTTAAAGAACTGTGAGGAGGTTGGACTGTTCAATGAGCTGACTAGTCCATTTGAACATGACTTCAAAAAGGCCGCTGAGGATGATATTAAGAAGGTACATACATAAATATAAACTTTCAGAGTGAAACAAGAGAGATGCAGGCTTTAAAATGCCCAATGACATGTTGTTGCCAACAACAGATTTAAAGTATTTTGACATATATTTGCTGGACAGTTTATTGATTGTGGTAGATTTTTCTAAAAAAATCACTTAATCAAATGTAATCAAATAAATTAAATGTGAATCCACTTTGTGCAAACCAAGGGCCGTATTACAGAAACCTAACTTTGAAATCTTATTTTTCTCTGTTTAGTCGCCATGACACCTTCAGTTAGGACTGAATTTAAGGCAGAAGCTAGTTCATAATCTTAACTCCAGATAAGAAAACAGAAACATCCTAACTTGACAAAATTTTCTAAATTCTGTCCTAACTTTAAGACAACTCTAGCGGTGTCCTAACTTCTGTTTTTACCATCCGTTTATGTTGTTTTTATGCAGCTGTTACGGGCAGCGTTGTTCACTACTAGCATAATGATGTTACATTTATTTATATTGCAAAACTGTGGTTTTGCTTGTGAGATGTTTTTCTTTTCTAACTCTTCGTTTTTAAAAACCCCAGACATTGCAGATATGATCTCCACCATCCCCTCTGATTACCTTGATGTGTTAATGTTGATGAAAATTTGTCAGATAAAATATTACAGTGATGGTGGTGAATAATGAGGAGACTGAGCTGAACAGGCGTCTATTTATTAGGATTTGAGTGGATTTGGATGTGGAGCGGCGACACTGATAAACTGCACGAAGTGCTTTCACAATATTCATAACTCCAAGTTTATTGCACTTTTGTTTTGACCTTTTTACATTTATGACTGTAGCTGTAACTTACATTGTTAACTTTATTCTGATTACGTGTTAAGATTCAGCTGTGCACGTTTGGTCGTTTGCTAGGGAAGAGACCTGACACTTGATTGTCAACTTCCTAACTTCAGATAAGATAAAATGCTGTAAGATAAGATTCCTGAATTAAGGTAAGATTTGCTTCTGTAATATGAATTTGTGAAAATTTTTATCTTGACCTGTTAGATCTTAGCTTAAGAATAAAGAAGTTTTCTGTAATATGGCCCCAGGTGTGCTGTTGATGGATTTCAACAAATACATGTACAAGGCTGGAGGGCACCAAGACGTCAGGAGCCAGACTTGTTCTTCTAACCAAGATATCACTAAATGTTTAAAAACAAAGAAGAAAAGTTTTACTACATTTATGTTTATTTATATTTATTCTAACGTTTTATCCTGTTTTTACAAAAACATACTGTCTGCTGGGATAAATACTTCTTAGCAGTTTCTTGGGCTGCATAGGATTTTTGCACAGTGTTGTATTTAATTGATAATCAATGATATAATGCCCATATAATAACAATGCTCTTGTTGTCAAGCAGTTTATTAATTAATTTAGTTAATTTATTTTTATGTTTTTGATTTCTTTCACTTAACTCATAGTATTCAGGACTTGTAATGTTCGTCTGGGTGCTTCAGATTATTTTGAAAGAACAGTAAAAAGGTATATTGTCTTAAAATGATAGTAATAGTTTTTTTTTGCTGAAAATGTGATTTCTCTGTAGTTAATGTTTGACACTGTGTAAGGTTTTTTTTGATGTAATTTTAAGAGAGAAGAACAAAACACTCAAGCAAAACAAGATGTTAGATTTGCGAGACGAATTTTGGCCATAGAGTACTAGTACTCTGGAAGCATGGCTTTATTAACTTTATTAATGGTAACTTATTAACATAAGTAATGCAGAGCTGAATATCATCTGATGCTGTAATATATTTGAAAAACAAAATGATACTGAATTTGATCAATATCACCCAGCCCATTATTTGTCTTTTATTACAGCGGGATGAGGATCTGAAAAATGTGTGACAAGTATGCACAAAGAAAATCGAGAGGGGACAAATACTTCTTCACAGCACTATTAAGAAATCCGCCTTTGTAGCTATTTTTTATTTAGGTGTGCTCATTTCATTTGTAACTCAAGATACTCAAGAACCTATGGTTTTGGGGTCTGTTAAAATGAGGAGCAAAGACCCTGTAATGTTATCTCAATATAAGTAAAGTATCTGTTTTGAGGTTGAAAAAAATCTGAATAAGGCAAAGAATAGAAACTAGTGCAGCAAGTAAACATGTAACTGCTGTACCACTGAATAGCATGTGGTATTTTTTAATGCAGTATTGCAAAAGCCAGAATTTAGACAACATTTAACCTGTAATGTGCAGTCCTAAGAAGAGCGTCCACACAACAGTCTGGCAGAACGGAGATACTCTGCAGAGTGTAGGAGTTGCCAGAGGCACAAGCTATACTCCCAGAATCTCAGAGGGTACACCACAAGATATTAACCCCTAGTGAGTCATAGAACCAGAAAACCCTAAAAATTGTTTAGCTTAAGAAGCAAAGTCTAATGCATGGATGAGACTAACCAGATTAACTGATTAACAGTATGGTGGAAAACTGGAAGAGTGGATAAAAAAGGAATGGCATGTGCCAAGCATAAACCTTGTTCCGTTGCTCTACTTAAATGAGTGTAACTTACATGGGTCACATTATTGTATTAATATCAGGTTGAGATGTGTGTTGCATTGATATCAGATTGTTTGTGTGATTTTTGTGATTTGATGTATTTTAGTTACCCTTGGACTTGTCGCCTCTTGCTACTCCTATTGTACGAAACAAAATTGAGGAACATACACCTCTTGAATCACATCGAGACAGTCCCCTCCCACATCCTGAATCCACAACCTGTGATGACAAGGTGATCCACTGAATAATGCTGCGGATTGTTGAAAGTAACTTGATTACTGACCGTGGGCCCTTTTGAATGATGTGCGTATGCGTATATTTTGAATCACATACCAGCCTGTATGTCCTTCAGGAGCCTGTGAGTGTTTCAGTTTTGTACATATAGGACCTAAAACATCTACAGTAGCTCGTCTGTGGATGTTATTAATGTTTCTAGTAGTCTGGAGAATACAGCTATTGACATTTCCAAGTATTTGTCAGCTAAGTATCAGTCTTTTGTAACAGGTACAGGTACAGTAATATGTGTTTATTACTGTGCAAAGGATGAAATAATTATA